ACATATGTATATATATGTACATACACATGTATATGTGCGTGCACAAATTTCATAACCGAGAAAAGAAAAAACAACGTACAAAACAGCAAGCAAAGATGCTTGCAGGATTAAAAAACAGCACACACTCACAGGACAGTGAGTGGAAATGGTCTTTATTTTAGAGATGCAAACTGAAATATTCAGAGATACAATGCTACATAATGGGTTGAATGGTGGCCCTCCAAAGATACATCCATGTCCCAGTGCATGCTAAGTTGCTTCATTTGTGTCCTACCCTTTGCGATCCTATGGACTGAAGTCTGCTAGGCTCTTCTGTCCATGGAGATTCTCCAGGCAAGAATATTGGAGTGGGTTGCCATGCCCTGCTCCAGGGGATCTTCTGGACTCAGAGATCACACCCAAGTCTCTTAAGTTTCCTGCACTTGGCAGGCAGGTTCTTTACCACTAGTGCCACCTGGGAAGCCTATGTCCCAGGGCAGGATCTTATTCAAGTTAAGGGTAATTAAGGATCGCAAGAGGAGATACTGGATTAACCAGGTGAGTCCTAAATTCAAAGACAAATGTCCTTATCAGAGATACACAGAGGAGAGACACAGGGAAGCAGCCCATGTGAAGATGTGGGCAGAGAATGGAGTGATGTGGCCACAGTCAAGGAAACCTAGAGCCACCAGGATTTGGAAGAGGCCAGGTACTGCCCTCCCCTGGAACCTTCAGAAGAAGCACAGCCCTGCCTACCCTTTGATTTCAGACTTCTGGCTTCCAGATCATTAAGAGAACACATTTCCACTGTTTAAGACACCCAGTTGGTGGTCATTTGTCAGGACAGACACACAAACAGTACAGATTGAGGCTGCCTGGGCTCTGATCTACAGGGAAGGAAAGTGGCCGGCTGTGGAGATAATCGAGGTTGACAAAGGGCCTGACAATTGTTGGAGCTGATGACAGGTACACGGGACTTTGCAACACTAACGTCTACTTTTATATATGTTAGAATTTCTCAATATAAAATTTTCTCCTTAGAAAACATTAAGCAAAAAAGGCCAAAACTCTCTAGGATAAAGTTTAAAAAATAAACAAAATGAATACGGGGTGGAGAATAAACAGTGAGCATGTTGATCGACTTGACTCCTGGTTCAACAAACCTGGCCTCTATAAATCTGAACCGATTCCAGACTGACAGACACACCAGAAGCATGTCCTCCTTCGAGGGCTGGAAGGTTCTGATTTTGCATGTCCCACATGGGGCACTAGTTATATGTGGCTATTTGCATTTAAATTAATTAAAACCAAATCACATTAAAAATTCAATTCCTCTGGAACTTCCCTGGTGGTCCAGTGGCTGGACATGCTCCCAATGCAGGGGGCCTGGGTTTGATCCCTCCCTGGTCAGAGAACTAGATCCCACATGCTGCAACTAAAGATCACGCAACCTGCAACTAAGACCAGGTACAGTCAAATAAATATATTTTAAAAAAAAAATCAATTTCTCAATCTGACTGGCCACATCTCATGTGCTCAACAGTCACACATGGCTGGTGACACTGTACTATATGCTGCAGACAAAGAATTTGTCCTTCATTCCAGAAAGTTCCATCTGACGGTCCTATTGCAGAGATCATGTCAGGGGACACAGACCCCTTCCCTCCCCATCCCTCGCCAGTCTGGAGGGCTGAGTGCAGACAGAGCATGAATACCTGGCTCTTCTTCTCCTTCTGGTCTAAGATTCTCTGCAGCATCTTCCGTTCTTTCTTGGTCAGAGGCTTCTTCTCCTTCTTGGACAGGGGAGGGGCTTTGGTCTTTTTCTTCTTCTTCCCGGGAAGGACAAGAGCATTGCTTGCATCGACTCCTTTCAACATGTCCTTATCTGAAAAGATACACTCGCCTGACCCACAGCCCTGGAGGCTGGAGAGCGAGGATGCCTAGGGTCTCAAGATGCTATCTTAATGCTGTTTTCCTCTGGGGCGGCCCTCCTGCCCTCTGCGAGCCATCCAAGCACCTGCGCAGGAAGGGGGATGTAGGCCCACCGCACCTCTACTACACTCTCCATCCAGCACCTGCTGCAGGTCAGCCTCGGCCATGAGTCGGGGTACCCCCATCCTTGTGTTTTGAGGAGACAGAAGGAGGTACAGCAAGGAGGGAATAAACTACACCAGTGTCTTCCTCCCAGCAGGGTCCTGCTTTCGGAGAGTCTGTGAGGTCAAAACCACTTTTATAAGAACTCTAAAGGATACTCTCTTCCAGGTGTACAGTGGACTAAGTTCTGAGCTTGTGTTATATCTATTTTTAAATGTCGGCATTTTTGGGAATTCCCTGGTGGCCCAGTGGTTAAGACACCATGCTTTCACTGCAAGCGGTGCAAATCCATTCCTGGATGAGGGGCTAAAATCCCACGTCACAACTAAGCTCGTGTGCTGCAGCTGCTGAGCCCACGTGCCACAACAAGAGAAGCCCGTGCGCTACAGTAGAGATCCACTGAAGACAAAAATCAATCAAAAACAAAAAAAAACCCCAAGCCCCCAAATCCCTGTTTTAATTTCTAATATGATAAATTTCCATACACAGAACTCACACTAACAAAAGCACTTTGGGGTCTTCAATGTTTAAGAACATTAACAATGTCCTTAGAGGAAAAAATTTGGGAACCAATGTGCCATAGGAAGAAAAAAGGGGGGGGGATATGCTAAAAATAAGAAAGAGGGTAACAATATTGGATCAGTGATCAGAGAAGGCTCTTTGCAGAAGGCAAGCTGCTTTATAATCTTATAAGGTCCCTCTGGCCCCTAAAAGTCTCAAGGATAAATGGAGATGTCTTGTTCGAAGGTGAGAAACTCTCCCCAAATCTTTGGGTCTAAAAGACCTCGGGCTCCTCTGCGCTCACTTCACTGTCAGTCCATCTCACTTCCTGAGCTGTCACTGCTGCTACAACGAACGATGCCCATCACAGTTCAGGTCAGTAAAGACACAGCCTGTCTTTACTTTTCAAAGCATTCTCAGTTACAAATATATTCTCCCAAAATACCACCCCCATGAACAGGTATGTAACTGCTGGACCCATGTGACAGCTGAGAAAACTGAGGCACAGAGATGTCAGGTGAGTTACTTCAACTCCCAGCCAATCCCTGCAACTTCTGAGGAGGGAATTCAGACTCCAGATTCCCCCCTTGACAATCTTTCCCATAACTTCACTGCCTTCAGGGTCCAAGAGGAGAGTGTGGAAGAGGAGGCTGGTTAGTGGGTAAAGAAAAGTAGGCTTCCCCATTGGGCCCAGTTCTCCCTCCCTCCACCTCCAGAATCTAGGCCCACTCTTCCCTAATGCCTGAATCAGCCTGAGCTTCAGGGATCCTATACAAACAGCCGATGAGTTTAACTGTGGAGTGTGTTCGGTTTCAAGGGCCAGCAAGACAACTGAACTCATTCAATAACTTCATCCTCAACTCTCCTGTGAAACTGGACGCATCAAGGTCACTGATGGGCTCCCTGGTGTTACATCCAGGGGTCCTTCTCTCCCTCCCTGACCCCACAGCAACATGACACAAATGGTGGGTCTTCTTCATGGTCCCTGGACAACCACACTCCCAAGGGTCTCCCCCCACCTCACTGGGCTAAACTCACTGCTCAATGAGAGCTGGTCCAGTCTTCAAACTTAAATAAATATCATCTATACACAGTGATGACTCCAAACTGCTATCTCCCCTGGACTTGCCTCTTCTAAGCATCTGAGTCAACAGCTGCCTGACTATCCCTCTACTTGGATATCTAACAGGGCCCCCAAAACACTCATATCCAAAACCAAGCTCTTGGCCTCTTCCCAAGCTGGCCCCTCCCTGCCTTCTCCAGCTTCCAGCCACCGGACCCCACACCTGGGATTCATTCTTGACATCTCCTTTGTTCTTGTGCACAGTCAGCCAGCAAATCCTATTAGCTCCATCTTCCAAATATATCTTGAATTCAACTACCTCACACATCCTCGGCTGCTGCCTCCCCAGACCAAGCATCAACTCCTGCCCTACTGACTGTACTCAGCAGCCTCCTTTCCAATCACCCTGATTCTTTGCCCTCTACTGCTTTTCCTCAACACAGCACCACAGTGATGCTGTTAAAACCTAAGCCCATGCCTTGTTCCTCCTCTGTTCTAAACCCTGCAGGTCCACTGTTCTCACCATGACCCGCCAGGTCCTACCCATCCTGCCCCCACTTAATATTTCATCTCCACTCAGCCATTCTGATGGCCCTCAGGTCTTAAGGATTCAATGCTTTCTCATTGGGGCCTTCCCCATCTACCTTACGAAACTCTGCAACCCACCAAACACCTCTTGTACTTTATCTGTTTAGTATGAATGTATGCAAAATATTCTATATATTCTGTGTTTTTCTTTACTTGTCTCTTCCCAAAAACATAAAACTGCACAGAAGGGATTTTTCTCCCACCTTAATCTCATCTTCTGTTACTCTCCTAGAATAGTGCCTGGCGCATCATAAGTCTTCCCTAACAAAACAGAGGAGTCTTAGCAGAAATGTCAAGCAGCCTGGAGCTAGAGACAGACAGACCTGGGCTGAAAAATACAAACTTAAAAGTCGCTGGTAGGGAGGTTATAATTAATGCCATCAAAATGAATGTAATTACCTTATTTTCTTGTCCAAATTCCCCACATTGCTATACTACGACCACACTGGAAAGAACTCCAGGTATTGTTCCAAACTCAGTTAAAACGAAAACTGTCACTATTCCCCGTTTCTTTGGATCATCTGAGGTGGGTGGCCTCTCTCCGGGAGCCTTCCGGAGTCGCAGAAGCAGGACATAGTCCCGGCGTCCTTCAGCCCCACTGGCCAGCCCTGGCCCCAAGGCCCTGGTTGGTCTTTCGCCCGAAACCCAGCCCCTGTCCAGGGCCTTCTTACCCTCCAGTTCCAGCCGCACGGGGGGCGGCTCGGGAGGGCCTTTCGAGGTGCCGGGGGCCGCCTGCTGGCGCCCCTTGATGTTGTACCTCCGGCGTAGCTTCCCCATGGCGCCCGAACTCCTGCTCCTGCAGGTAGGGTAGCAAGACCCGCGCACTTCTAAGCCCAACCCACGTGGGCCCCCACCAAGATTCAGGACGGAAAACTTCCGGGCTACGCTATCGCGAGAGCTGGTACTAACGGACCTCCTGGGGGCGGGGCTAGAGGCGGGGTCACCTTAAAAATCAAGGCCTGTGGGGTTGGAGCGAGGCGGGGCCAAGTTGGGGAGGGGCGGGGCCTGAAGTGCCATAGAGTCTTCTGTTTAAGTCCAGGGCTGTTCGCAGGAGTGTAGTTTGAGCCTCTAAATCTGAATTATCTACTAATATTAATTTGGGAATGAGAGTGTTTTGTCGGCTTTAAAAATATAATCTACTCCTAACACAGTCTTCTTCCCTCTTTTTTTGGCTTATCTGTACTTTCTGATGTTCTTCAAGCAACATTATTTGTGTAGTAAAAAAGGCAAGCTCAAGCTCCAATACTTTGGCCACCTGATGCGAAGAACTGACTCATTGAAAAAGACCCTGATGCTGGGAAAGATTGAAGTTGAAGACAGGAGGAGAAGCGGACACCAGAGGATGAGATGGTTGGATGGAATCACTGACTCAATGGACGTGAGTTTGAGGAAGCTTCGGGAGTTGGTGATGGACAGAGAGGCCTGGCGTGGTGCAGTCCATGGGGTGGTGAAGAGTTGGACACGACTGAGTGAACTGAATTGACTGTGTCTCCATTTTTTTCTATTAAAAGCGTAAATGGTTAAGGGTAAGTAAATTATATCATCAAAAAAAAGTGAAGGTGCTAGAAGTTATTTTAGAATTTTAGAGAGGATAAAGTTATATTCCAGAGTTAAAGTCATTGCCCCAGGAAAAGCATTTGAATAACCCAGAACAAGAGCTGGCTGCCAAGTAGGTAAGTAACAGTTGTCGAACATAAGAATGAATGATAACTGTGATTAATCTGGACAAGCTCCCCTCTTCTTCAGAAAAGCAAAAACAAATCCCTACAAACACACAGGTGGAGCATGAGAGGATTTTGATAGCATACATATGAACATTCTTTTAATTAATTAAAAAGGATTTGGGGGAAAAGTTACAATAAGCAAATCACACTTGTGTTTACATGGGTTTTATTGCTTAGGATAATAGCAGTCTATAGTTCTTTAAATATGCTTATTTAAGTAAATAAAAAGTTATTATTAGGTTGGTAATAGTACATTCTATTTTCTTCTAAAATATTATATACCAAAGATTACCTCCAGAAGATATAAAGAACATTCTATAAAGTAAAAGGAAAATACACAACAGCATGGATCTCATAAATATAGTGAACAAAAGAAGCCAACCACAGAAGATCATATTTTATGATCCAATTCACATAAGTTCAAAAACAGGCAAAATGAATCCCCTAAATTTTGGAGGGGGCATAGTGAATAGGAGAGGGCAAAGGAAGCCTTTTGGCAAAACTGATAATGTCCCTTTTCTTGACCTGGGTGCTGGTCACCTTGTGTGTTGTTTAAATTCATAGAGAAGCACCTATGACTGAATATTTTTCTGCTTGTATAACACTTAGTTGTGTATGACTCTTCGCGACCCCATGGACTATAGCCCACCGGGCTCCTCTGTCCATGGGATTCTCCAGGCAAGAGTGCTGGAGTGGGTAGCCATTCCTTTCTCCAGGGGATCTTCCCAACCCAGGGATTGAACCCTAGTTCTGAATTGCGGGCAGATTCTTTACCACCTGAAACACTAGGGTGTCTTGTATACTGTACTTCAGTTTTCAAAAGTTTACTTTAAATATTTTTTTAAAAAGATGATGATGAAATATACACTAGTGAATATATGAAAACCTCACCAGAAATCTAGAAAAATGTAAGTTCAAAATAAGATTCAGGGACTTCCCTGCTGGTCCAGTGGCTAAGACTTCATACTTCCAGTGCAAAGGGACCTGGGTTTGATTCCTGGTCAGAGAACTAGATCTCACAGGCTGCAACTGAAAGCTCCTGCCTGCCACAATGAAGACCTGGTACAGCCAAATAAATGAATAAAGTAAATGTTTAAAAAGATAACTTTTAAAAAAACCAAAAAAATAATAAAAATAAAAAAATAAAAATAAAAAGATAACTTTTCACTCTGGGTTGACAAAAATTAAATTTTATTTTTATATCATTTACTTATTGAAGAAACTAAGGTCATTTATCCTGTTCAGTGTTCCACATTCTGACTTTAGGTTCTGCTGTTTCTAATTTTTTTTTGTTTCCATTCCCTATGTTTCCTGTAAACCATAAGTTAGAGGTGGAGGTCACATCAAGTTAGGGTCCAAAGTGTTTTGGGAGAATCCATCACACAGGTGGCTTTGGAATCTTACTACCAAGATTGGTAGGTCCAGCCCCCTCCATTTTCAAGTTCTCCACCAACATGTCACCTTTTGGTTTCAGTCTGTTGATGATCATGGCCTGGATCCATCATTTCATTAAGGGGTGCAAACTTATTTTCTAATCTCTCTCACTCCCTTTTCATTTACTACCTGGATTTCCTAAAAAGAACTTCCCGTTCTCAACTATTTGCTGACTCTGAGTTCGTTCAAGAAGGGCAGGAGGGAGTGCTTAATGCTTTTCTTTTAAACATTTCAGAATGAATGAGTAAGCTGGTGCCCCTGCCACCGGCAAAGGTGGCCAATTATTGGGTGTTATAAATTCAACGATATGCAAAATATATATAATTCATATTTCTCGATCAATGGTAGTCATCGTTCCTGTTGGCGCTGCTTCACCTTTACAATCTTGGGTTGCTTTTCATAGAAAAGTTTAAGATAAAGTTTTGGTTTTTTTTAAAGGAAAGATTTAAAGCCCCACCAGGTCCCAGAGGGCTTGGGGAGAGGAGGGGGGCGGGGAGAACGGTAACCTCACAGCTGTCCGGCGCTCCCGCCAGGTCTTCGGCAGGTCCCGCGTCCGGGGGCGGGGCAAGGCGTGGGCAGGGCCGTCGCGCCTTTGCGCGCGGGGCGGGGCTAGCACCGAGAAGAACAGCTACCGCCGCACCGTCAACACCTTCTCGCAGAGCGTCAGCAGCCTGTTCGGCGAGGACAACGTGCGCGCCGCTCAAAAGGTGGGCGCTGGGCCCGCGCCCGCGGTCACCTTGCCTCGGCCGCCGCGCACCTGGCGCCCAGGGCCCTCCTGGGCCGTGCGCGGCCTCTGGGACTGCAGGCCGGCCGGGGCTCAGAAAGAGGGAGGCCCGGGTCTGGGGCGGGGGGTCCGGGCCTGCCGCCTGTGGCCCGAGCCGACCTGGGCCAGCGTCGTGTCTGGGGGCGAGTTCCGGCGCAGGTCTAGTGCGCAGGGCCTCGGCGCGCCCTGTGTTCCATGCGGTACTTCTCCTTGAACCTTGCTCCCGGGGACACTCGGTCCGGGCCTCCCCTCGGCAGCTCTGACGCCGCCGCGCCTCTCATTCATTCATTCAACACGTTTGAATGAGCGCCTACTGTGAGCCAGGCACCGTGGCGGCTGCCCAGGGGGCGCCCTGCTCGCCGGCGCCCTCTCCCCACGCTGCTGCGCTCTCCCCAGCAACCCCGAATTTCCTGTAGCCTTACCGCCGACCCGCTTCCCCTGAACACCTTAGGCCCTCCTCCTTCTGCTTTGAAGATATTTAGGCTTTTTATTATTTTACTGTTATTTTTTGTTGTTTTTTTTTTTAAGAATGAGAGTAATGCAATCTTCTCCGTTGCTTTGGCAACCTGGCACAGTAACCCGTTTAAACACCTACTGTGTGCCGGGCCTCTCACTTGGAGCGTTTTATTTACTTTGGAGCTGTTGAGGAGCCCCTGGCCCCTGGGGATGGTGTTGGGCGCTCCGGAGAAGCCCTTTCTCTCCCCGCTCTGCCCTCGGCAGCTGGGTGAACCACTGGGGGTAGAAGTCCACCGAGCAAGGGGAAGTGAACAAGGGGGACGGTTGCATGTGGTCAGGCAGTTCCTGGGGTACAACCCATACTGTTCCGTCTCTTAAGCTCTTTGCTCTGCACCAGCCCTGGGCTTTTGGAGTGGAGAAAAGTTCCAGTTCTGACTGGATGGCTTCAGGCAACTGGCTTCACTCTTCTGAGGCTCGGTCTCTTTATTCCTTCAATGGGGATAGTAATCATCTCCTCTTGTAATTATGAATCGTTGGTCCCTTCTTGGCCCAGAGTCATGGCTGAATCAGTATCAGATACTGTCGTTAGTTATATCCTGGCCAAGGCTCAAATCTCGGTTGCTTAGCCCTGCTGGCAGCGCTTTCAGGTTTTAAAAAAATGTTTTCTGCTGCCTGAGATGAAGGGGAAAGAAAACATTAAATCTCAAATCAGACTGGCTGAATATTCTAATCGGATGAGATGAAATATAGGTTAATTTGTTAGGAAAGCTGTTAACTTCTGACCATCCTCTCCTATGGGTGTTCTGAGAAGCTATAAAGGTTGTGGGTAATGGGGCAGGTGGTGGGGTGGGGGGAATATCTCTTTGTAGCTGGCTACGGAGGGAGAGCACAGAACACTTGAGTGCAGAGAAGTGGCCATTCAGACTGCCTGAGTATGCAGGGTGAATCTGCACCTCTCTCCTACTGTGTGCCTTATTCATCTGAAGGCAGAAATCATTTGTTTTACAGCAAAAAGACCTTCCCTTGTGACTCAGCTGGTAAAGAATCCACCTGCAATACGGGAGACCGGGGTTCAATCCCTGGGTTGGGGAGATCCCTTGGAGAAGGGAAAGGCTACCTATTCCAATATTCTGGCCTAGAGATCCCATGGCCTGTAAAGTCCATGGGGTCACAAAGAGTCAGACATGGCTGAGCTACTTTGACTCACAGCAAAAAGAAGTCTGGCCTTTTTGGGGGAGGGTTTAGCACAAGCCACCATGTCTAGGCTGATTATTCTATCTAGGAATCTGAGATTCACAGACTCATATGAAATACAAAGTAGATATTTAGGGGTTCAGATGTGGATTGGTATCAATAATACAGCTGTGTCCTGGCAAAGTATCTGAGAATCTTGAAATCAGCATTCCTTTTGAAGTAAACCAAGGTTTGTGCTTTCAATAGAGATGACTGTAATACTAACTAATATTTGTTAATAATTTAGACAGATATTTGAAGGGCTCCTCAGATAGTACTAGTGGTAAAGAACCTCCTGCCATGAGAGACGTGCGTTCGATTCCTGGGTCAGGATGATCTCCTGGAGAAGGGAATGGCAACCCACTCTAGTATTCTTGCCTGGAGAATTCCATGGACAGAGGAGCCTGGTGGGCTACAGTCCATGGGGTGGCATAGAGTCAGAGACGACTGACGCAACCTAGCACGCACATTTGTTTAAAATACACCTCCTTTTTTCTGGCCAAGCAGCATGAGGGATCTTAGTTCTCCAACCAGAGATCAAAGCCATGCCCCCTGCAGTGGAAGTGCAGAGTTTTAACCACCGGGGAAATCCATGCCTTTTTTTTTTAAGATCTAATTGGCTTTATTATTATTATTATTATTATTATTATTATTTATCTAATTGGCTTTAATCAGCAATTTGTGAATTGGGCGACATCCCTTCTAGCAAATAAATGCTCCCTGTTCTGAGTCCTTTTATAAATAGAATAACTCACTTCATCCTTAGAACAGGCCTATAAGGTTGGTACTGTTAATACTTCCATTTTACAGACAGGGAAACTGAGGCACAGAATGGTAAAGTGATTGGCCTCAGGTCAGCCTGGGTGGCAGAGCCAGGATTTGAACCCAGGCACAGTGGGGCTTCCCAGGTGGTGCAGTGGTAAAGAATCCACCTGTCAATGGAGGAGATGCAGGTTCGATCCCTGGGTCAGGAAGATCCCCTGGAGTAGGAAATGACAGCCCACTCCAGTATTCTTGCCTGGAGAATCCCATGGATAGAGGAACCTGGAAGGCTCCAAAGAGTCGGACATGACGGAGTATGCACACACATGTACACAGTGAGTCTGGAGTCTGCGCTGGTACCTTCACTGGTCTTTTGGTGTACAACCCTCCCTGTGCCCTTCCATCAGTGGAGCATCCAAAATGAGGCTCCCTGACATTTCCTGTGGAGTATAGCCTAGACCAGCGAGACTTGGGGAAATTGCTCTGTTAATTATAATTAAAGGAAAACAATCTACTAGCAGCTATACTTTTCAACAAGCCAGACCTTCTTAGTGGGTTGTAAAGTTTGAGGGTATTTAATGAAACACTCTATGTTCTATCTAGGAATTGTCTAAAATTAACCCCAGCCCTTCTGGTTCAGAACCTAGGCCTTGCTCTCCCACAGACTTGGGTTCGAATCCCAGCTCTGCTTCTTACTAGCTCTGTGACCTTGGGCCAGTTGCTTGACCTCTGTGTGTCTCCTTTGCGCAAAGGAGAAAATTGGCAGGTTGAATGTGACTAGTCATGGTGTACAATACCAGGCACTGAATAAGTGTTTATAAAATGATAGAAGATATAAGAAGGATTCATCTGGTGTGTTTAGTATAAAGATGTACCCTCATTTAACCAACTCCTCCTGATGGTCCATGTTTTGTTAGTTTCCAACTGGACTGGATTGGCCACTCCAATCCTGGCGGCAGTAAAGGTTTTTCTATCTAAATTTTTTGGAGTGTGCATATACAAGTTCATCTGTAAATTGTTAGAAATTCAATTGCTGAGCCAAGGGGTCTGTGCATTTTAAAATTTTTAATTGAAATATAATAAGGCAACTTTCCGGGGTAAAGAAAAAAGGAAAAGAAATGGCAAAAAACAAAAAAGCCCAAGGGAACCAAAAGGTGCAACGGAAAAAAAACAGGCCAAAGCCCCAACCCCAAAAAAAACCCCCCCCCAAACCCGAAAAAAAAAAACAACCTTGGCCGCCCCGGCCCTTAAAAAAAAGTCCAAGTCAAAAGCAATTTGAAGAACGAAAAAAAATAACGAAAAGGTCCCCAAGTAAAACAAGTTCCAATCCCAACAAGAAAGGGAAGGCCGCCTTCCCAAAACCCCCCAAAAAAGGGGCAAGAAACCAACTGGGTTTAATAATTTAATGGGAAAAAAGCCAACCTTTCAACTTTTCCGAAACCAAGGGCAACCTTAACGGGAAACGAATTTTGGTTTCCCTTGCCAACAACGAAAACGGTAAGCCTTTTCCTTTCAAAAAGCCGGCAATTTTTTTTGCTTTGTAAGAAAATATTTTGAGCAGAATAACTTTGACACTTTCCAGTCTCTTTTATTCCCCCACCAACATTTTAACAGCTTTATTGAGGTGTCATCGACATAGACTGCACACATTTAAAGTGGGACAAAAGTGTACAAGTTGGTAAATTTTGACATATGGATACACCCCTGAAAACATCACCATCATCAAAATAATGTTGTCTGACTTTTTCTTTGAAAAGCTGGAAGAATCGAATAAGTTAACAGTGAGACACTCCACCTAGGATCACCATATTCTTCCCAGACTGTTTCTTTTTCTCTACAAACACACACACACACACTTTTTTTTTTTTTTTGAAAGTAAATTGTGGACATGATATTTTCTCCTACAGGACCATAATACCATGGCCCCTTTGCCCCAAAACTTAAATTTAGTTCAATATCATTTTGTAATATACAGCCCATATTCACATTTCCTTTATAACTTAAAAAAAAAAATACAGCACCCAAGCAACAGCTCATTGCATTTGGTTTTAATGCCTCTTTAGTTCCTTTTAATCTATCAAAGTCCCTTTTACCCTTTTGGGAATGGGAGTAGGGGGTGCTTTTATGACCTTGATGTTTATGTCTTCTTTTTCTGAACAGCTTTATTGAGCTATAATTCAGATACTATACAGTTCATTCACTGAAAGTTCAGTGGCTTTTATTATACTCAGTGGGGTTGTACATCACCACATTTTGTACATTTAACCACATTTCTGTACATCACCAAAATCAGTTTCAAACATTTGCATCACTCCTCCCCGCTTTAAAGAAACCCTAAATCTCTTAGCTGTCACCCCATCTCCCCCAACCCCTGGCAGCCCATAATCTTCTTTGTTCTTATGGATTGCGTATGTATTCTAGACATTTCCTATAAATGGAGTCAGACAGTAGGTGGTCTTTTGCATCTTGCTTCTTTCACCCAGCATCATGTTT